TGTTATGTATTTAGTTTGTCTAGTTTTTTTTTTGTGATGTCTTTTTTTTTTTTTTTTTTTTTGTTTGTTTGTTCTAGTATAACCGTCTGTGCTGTAAGAACTATGTGCACTACATTTTGTGTATGTGCTGTGTATGTATATAATATTAATGATTATGGGTTATTCCAATGTTTATGACTCCGGTTTATTTTGTGTCGGATTTTTTTTTGAAAGGGGTTTGGGTTTTTTTACGGGAGAATTTCGTTATATAATATGTTAAAAAGTTTTTTTTTTTATTGTGTGTGTATGAATTGTCTGTCACGGGTTTTTGGGTTTTCTAATTTTCGGTTGTAATGTGTATGTTGTTTTTTAAAAAAAATATAAAAAAAAAAAATTCTCCGACTGCATGGGTCAAAGGGGGGTTCCCAAATTTTTACTATGAAACCAAATGAGGGGGCCCCCCCCCCAAAAATTAACATTAAATTATTTACCCTTCTCAGTTTTGTTTTGTGCCAAAAAGGGTGCTTCAGTTTTCCCCCAGGGTAAAGATAGTTTTTTGTCTACTAACCATTTGTGCGGATCAGTTCCCGTGTTAAAACATTTGCAATATTTTTGGGTTTTACCCGACATAAAGGCACTGTCATCTGCATACAGAGGAGTTTGCCTTGACCTGATAGGCATATATTGACATAAATAAAAAAAATAAGGGACCAGAAAATCCCTTTGGGGAAACCCCCAAGTTACGGGGGGTTTGATTCTTTTTGTTTTTTTGACTATTTTTCTCCTTTGTAAGGTAGGGCTTAAACCAGTTACAAAACCCATACGATGCTTGAAGTTTTACAAAAAACATTGTGGTTGACATATCGAAAGGGTTTTGCAGGGCTAAGGTTACCATAAAATAGAGGTTCCCCTTTGACTTTCGTTCTCAGGGGAATCCCTCAGATTAATAAGGGAGGTGTCGTTTAGTAGGATCTCTAAAGCCCCTTGTATAGGAGAAAGTTTTTGTCATTAAGGGATTAAATATTGGAAAACACCCCCTCTAGAATTTTTTGATATTATACGATTTACAGGCCTATGTTGCTTACATCAACCTACTATTTTCTTTTAAGATAGGAGTAACTTGGCCTCCTTGAAAACCCCCCGGGAGGGATTAGTGGGGTTGATAGATTTATTATGGAGCAATAGGATTTTCATTTAAAGCAATCTTTAGGGAAATTAGAGGGTGTTATAGGGCCCGTGTTTAGTTGGGTTTTTAAAAGCTTATTTTTTTTGAATAAAGTCATGAGATAAATTACTAGTTTTTCAAACGTTTGGGTTACCCCCCTTTTTTGGGATAGTATTTGAAATTTTAGAGTCGTGTTAAAGGTATTTGATGCGTGGGATTTTCTTTAGGTTTATGACAGATGTGTGTATGAAATTAAGCAATTGCCACCTTAGGGTGTTCATGGCTACCTATTATCGATAGGAGTACTATGTGACCCATTACTGGTTAGGCTTCCCAAATGTTTTTGTTGCAGAGCTTTCGGGGGAAGTTTTACTCTTTAATTTTTAGCAGTGTGTGTAGGGGTATGGTCGTGGGGGGCAGCACAGGATAAAACTGCACCACCTCTGAGTCCTTAACAACAAAACCTTTGGTGTTTTTCAGGCACAAAAATGGTGTTGATTCCCTTTCCCCTTTTCCTTTTTTCAGCGATGCAATTACATGGGGATTTAAAACCCCCCCCCCCCCCCCCCCCCCCCCCCCCCCCCCCCCCCCCCCCCCCCCCCCCCCCCCCCCCCTTTTGTGTAGTTATTTTTTTTTTTGAAAATATGAAGCATTTTAATCCCGAATGCCTTTTTTTACCAAAAAAATTAAAAAAATTTTGTTGTTGGGAGAATAATAAAAATCGTTTATAAATAGAGGTGCTGTGGGGTTTCAATCCAAATCCCGTTTTTTGACTTTGAAAATTCTTGGGGGCCCCCCCTTTGGATCCTGCGCTAAAATTTTTTTCCCAAAATGAGGTTTTTATGAAACCCGAAAAAATTTTAAAAATGTTGAAAAAAACCAAAAAAACTTTCACTGCTTGAAGGAGCAATTTTGGGTTTTAAGAAAATTTCAACACTTTTGGAAGCCCTTCCAAATTAAATTAGTATTTTAAATCCTCAAACTTTTTGTGTTCACCCCAATAAAAAGGGTTTTTGAGTAAAACCCTCGAAGGTCCTTACCCAAAATCTAATTACCCAAAGAAAAATTTTGCCCCCGCTTTCGGGTTTTTGCAATTTGCCAAAAACTTTGAAAGAATTCTGGGGGGAATCCAAAGCACGAATTTTTTTTGGGGGTTTTTCAAAACATCCCCCCTTTTCTGCTCGTAAAAAATGAAAAGCCACAAAAAAGGGGGCCCTTTTAAAAAGTGGCGCCAAACAAAATAGGCCCCCCTTTTTGGAAAAAAAATTTTGGACTTCCGCGCTTTGGAAAAAACCAAAAGGAAAAAGAAGGGTTTTTTGATTTAGCCCCCGAAGCATAATTTAAGTTAAAGACCCATTCACCTTCTCCCCTTTTGGTAAAATCCCCCATTCAGACCAGGGGTTTTTTAAGGTTAAATTGGTTTTGGAAAATTTCAAAATGAAAAGCACGCAACGGTTGTGTTTTTGTGGTTTCAAGGAATTTCACAACAATGGGGGGCGCCCCCTTTTTGGTTTTTGAATTTTTAATCCCAAAAGGTTTAAAATTGCGATTTTCCTCCCAATGCAATCACGGTTTTTTCTTAAATATGTTCATTGGGAAAAAAAGGGGGAAAGGGGGGTTTGCGGTATTTCCCTTCTGCAAGGGTTGTTAAAGTTTTATGGAAAAGGAATGGCTTTTGATTTTGGCAATCAAAAATTTACACCTTGATGGGGACCCATCCTTGACTGTAACAAAATTCTCAGTACTCCCTGTTTTAGCACAATTGATCTGCAGAGTGCCTATCATCAAGTCCCTTATAAGGAATGAAGATAAACCATACACAGCGTTTCAGGCTAGTGATGGCCTGTATCAGTTTACCAGAGTCCCTTTTGGAGTCACCAATGGGGTAGCCTGCTTCAACGAATTATGGATTCACTCATTCATGAAGAGCAACTCATGGGAACCTACGCGTATTTAGATAATGTTACCATTTGTGGCAAGACCCAGGAGGAACATGATGCAAAACCTTGATAAGTTTTTGGAAGCCGCCAAGAAGAAAATATCAGTTACAATGAGGAAAAGTGCACTTTTTCAACTAAAAGGCTTAGCATCCTTGGTTATGTAGTGGAAGGAGGTTCAATATTCCCAGACCCTGAACGACTACGACCTCTACGGGAACTTCCAATGCCTCAAGACAAAAAGTCACTCCGAAGAACTCTTGGTCTCTTTTGCTTATTAACTCACAATGGATTACAACTATTCAAGTAAAGTCCGCCCATTGAGTGCTACCACATTTCCTGTGACAAAGGAAGCAGAAGCCGCTTTCCATACTTCAAACAGGACATTGAAAAACTCAGTAGTTCAAGCCATTGATGATGTCCCTACCATTCGAAGTGGAAACGGATGCATCTGACATTGCCATTGCTGCAGTCTTATCTCAGGCAGGACGACCAGTAGCCTTCTTTTCGAGAACTTTTCAAGGATCAGAGAAATGTTATGCTGCTGTAGAAAAGGAAGCCCAGGCCATCATAGAAGCAGTTCGCCACTGGAGGCATTATTTAACTGGTAGGACATTTCACCATAAGGACTGACCAACGGTCGTGATGTATATGTTCGACAAGAGGCACAAAAGTAGGATAAAGAATGACAAGATATTACGCTGGAGGATGGAACTATCGTGTTATGACTTTGATATTCTGTACCGACCGGGTCAAGAGAACATCTCACCTGATGCATTCTCTAGGTCCCACTGTGGAGCAGCATGTCATGATTTGCAATCACTCTCAGCTCTCCACAAGGCTTTGTGTCACCCAGGAGTTACACGCCTGTACCATTTTGTCAAATCAAAGAACATGCCCTACTCAGTGGAAGATGTGCGACAAGTGATCAGAGCATGCAGAGTATGTGCAGGTGCAAGCCAAACTTTCATCAGCCAGAGAAGACTCATCTCATAAAATCCACCAGCCTTTCGAAAGATTGAATATAGATTTCAAGGCCTCACCCAAACACAAATTAGAATAGGTATTTTTCCCTTTAAAATAGTAGATGAAAATTCAAGGTTCCCCTTTTTATTCCCCTGTGCAAATATGGCTGCTTCAACTGTTATTAGTTGTCTTTCACAGTTGTTCTCTATTTTTGGTATGCCAGTTATATCCATTCAGACAGGGGATCCTCGTTATGAGTAACGAAACTTCAGGAGTTTTTGGGTCAAAGGTATTG